ATCTTGTGAATGCTTGATCTTTGTAATAAAACACACCTCTCCTGTCGAAAACTTGTTTGTGGTATTCTTGCGAGTCTCAAAGGGATTTTTTGCTGAAAAATAAATAAGTGCCAGGCGAGAATATTAAATGGAGGATTCTATTTTTGATTCTAACCGCCTTGAAAGCGTAGTAAAGGTTGTTATAAAATCTTATAACAAATTTACGGAAAAACTATAATTTTTCTACAATAAACCTATTTACATGTGCATGATTTATTAACCAAAAAGAGAACATAATATTTTCTATAAAAAGTTAAGTTTTATGTGTTTAAAACTTGTTTAAGCACATCATTAACAGCAGTGTGTTCTAAAAAATTTTATAATTTATAATTATTGTTTTTTAAAAACAAAACTATTTTTATGTATATAAAACTTTTTGAAACACAGTGTTTAATGGATTGCGACGTGCATAAACGTCAATACATTTTGTTGCTAATTTTATTTTTTTTAGTCTCGCCCTGATTCTCGATATTTTCCTCTTCAATAGTTTTTTATTTAAACATAATTTTACATGGTCTGAGTTTAAACCGATGTAAGCTAGGTTGGTTTTTAATTTATTATTGTTATTTTGACAAATATTTAAAAAGATTCAAATTGTATACATTTTTTATTTTTTACTACATTAACTAAGCTGTTAAATATCCTTAATTGATGCCCACATCACACTGCACCCTCGCGAAAAAAATTATCCATCCATTAGAAAAAAAATTTAATAACGCAACGTTCTAATTCAATTAAAATGTCATCAGTAACACCTGTAGATACAGCTTAAACGATTCCCTCGATATTATTGTCACGACATTATCATGTTAGAGAATTCATTCCATACATTGAACGAGACACTGACAAATTAACGAGTGCTTATATTCATCAATGACCTCGACGTCTAAATACATATTCCAATAGCTCTAAAAGGATTTAATGCCAAAATGGCTTTCAATTAACAAACGGTGCATAGTACGGCATGCTCTACTCTATGATTTAATAGACGTATAGTCGAATTACCACTCACTGTTGCTGTCAACATTGCAGAAGAGCCTACAGGCTAGTTATTATTGCACAAGTCAGAGCAGTTCTCGCTCTGATATGTGAACAATGCCTAATTTAATTGGGCATTTACATTTTTTAGGGCTACTGAAGCGATGGGTATGTAATTAACTGTTAATAAAGTAATATTCGCTTTTTAATTAATTAATTTTGTGATAAAGAATCATTAACTACTTAATAAGAAAGGAAAGGGACCAAATTTTAGATATTATTACCAATGCAAAAATTATATTTCTATTACTTGCACTAAACGCTTACATGATCCTACGCTTTGTTTTAAAAATGTTATTATTATTTTTATTTTGATATCTAAACACCAAGCACTGAACGTTCGAATGTCTGGAAACATGGACACAGATTTTAGGTTTCATCCAGTTTGCTGTTTAAAATCCGGCTCGAAGGACCATGTAAGCTTTTGAAGATTAAATATTTTATTTATTTATCAGCCGAAATCGGTAAGTAAAGTAATAATTTTTACAGAAAGTGTCCCAAAAAGTTTTATACACATGAAAAAAGTTATGTTTTATTTTGTAGGATAATGTTTGAAGCAGTATACTGTTGAGATAGAGAGTAAAGTACTTAAAAAACCTAAAGGGGTAAAATCGGTCGTTGTCAAAACTAAAACCTAAAACAATTCTAAAATAATGAGTCACTTTGTAGGATAACGTTAAAAGCAATATATTTTTAAGTTTGAGGGTAAAGTATTTAAGAAGGGGTAAAATCAAAAGTTATCAAAAATAAAAACACATATGATAATTATTTAGAATGTTTAAAATTTTATTTAAAAAATCTCAAAATTCTATATTTTATATCTCAAATAAGAATATTTTAATTAAAAAATTTAAAATCCTTTAAGTACAGTAGAAAAAATTAGACAAAACAGCAGAACTACATCACTGATAGTAAATTTGTTATCGAATTCTATTTCCTTACCAGTTTTTTAGATTTCTTAAGCCCTTTAAAATATTTTTCAAACATTAAATCACAAATTATCTACTACTAACTATGGCTAGTCGTTATAACTGCATTGTGTAATCAAATCTAGAACGCTGCAGTGGTTTTCCATTGCTCCCTTGCTTAATAAGAAACAAAGTTGACCTTGAAATGACATTAAAGTTCAAGGGCAAGAGAAAATCAAAGAATGACATTTTGTAGACTTTACGAAGGGAAGTTTTTCACTTAAATATGCAGAATACATAGTTAGAGCCTAAAAGCTGGATAAACTTGGAAACTTTAACAAATCGACGGGACTCTATTTTCTAATATATCAATCCCAAGTTTTAGTTTATCTTGGAATCCCCTTTCCTCGACCCAACCGATGGGACGTAGATACGACGTAGCCGTTGCTCAATCACTCCCACGGGAAATATTGCGAAAGAGAAACGGTTTTCAAGAGAAAATTAGATCAGAATTAGTTTATTCAAGCTCGTTTATTTGCACAAACAAGACCTGACTTGTCAAGTTCCGTCGTTGAAATAACAGGATTTCAATTTATTCGCAAACAAGCGCCGAAACCGCCTCCTACGACTAAACAAAACAACAAATGAATAACAACCACTCTGATGTAGTCAATACAAACGAAATGATGGGAATTATTCGGGGCGTGCTGATGCTGGTTGTTAGTACTTGCGTTAGGTATTTGTGCGCCGTTGGAGAAGGGACAGAAGAGTCATGGAGCCCCTGGTTCACTCGGACGCGATTTTCTAAAGTCCTACATTTTCCTATACTCTCTATTTATATGGCATTGACGGTCTGGTTTGGTTATGCCATTCTTCTTTATTTTAATGGCCTCCGCCCACTCATATATCTACAAAAAATCCGCAATACTACGATTTTTTATAAATTATTACATATTATTTTTGCAATATCCATTAATTCATTATTTTTCTTTACTATATAAAATATATTACATTGTATTTACATTAATTCCAACTTTTTAAAAAAAATATTTTAAGTATTAAAAAATTAAACCCAATTATTCTACGCCACTGTTGGTTTAGTGAGTGGTGTATATCTGCTTGAAGCATCGTTGTATCTTCGAAATTGTTGTATTTATAGACGGCTTGCTTTCTGCATGCAAATTTTCTGATAGAAATAATATTGATATTGAGGAGGGAATCGGTAGGTTTACAATACCGTAGATATATTAAAGAATTCAATTATTTAAATTATTTACTTTGGGAAGCTTAGGAACAAAAGTTTAAAAGTTGAAAGTGATGTAGATGTTATTTAAAACAAGATTATAGGATATGTTATAAAAAAATATATAAATAATGGAAAAACAGTTTGTCTCATCTAGTTTTTATTGTAATGTTTTGTTGTTAAATTTGTTGAGGATTGGGTAAAATACTAAAGAGAGATTTTATTATATTATAACTAATATAACAATTTTTCTGGTCGAGATAGAAATTCTTCTTTTTCTTCTTGTTTCAAATATATTTCTACATTTTTAACATTCTTTTGATGGAAATTATTCATAAATTTTCGTTCAATGTTAATATATTACCCAATATAAAAATACTTTAATCTTGTTTTTAAATAACCTTTTAAATCTTTTATCCAGAAAATTTTAAAATAACTGTAAGGCTCAATTAATAAAAATTATCACCAGTTCAATTATTTATCTTTATAATAAAATGTATTCAATATATTCAATATTATTCAAAATTCTTCAACTTTCTTCAACATTCTTCAACATTCCTCAATATTTTTCAATATTCTTTAATATTCTTAAACACTCTTCAACATTCTTCAACATTCTTCAACATTCCTCAACATTCCTCAATATTCCTCAACATTCCTCAACATTCCTCAACACTTCTCAACATTCTTCAACGTTCTTCAACATTATTCAACATTCCTCTACTTTCGTTACCATTATTCAACATTCTTCAATTTTCTTCAACTTTTTTCAACATTATTCAACATTATTTAGCATTATTCAACATTCTTTAACATTTTTCGTCATTCTTTAACATTTTTCGTCATTCTTTAACATTTTTCGTCATTCTTTAACATTCCTTAACATTTTTATCATTTTTCAACATTATTCAACATTCTTTAGCATTCTTCAACATTCTTCAACGTTTTTCAACATTCTTCAACATTCTTCAACATTCTTCAACATTCTTCAACATTCTTCAACATTCTTCAACATTCTTCAACATTCTTCAACATTCTTCAACATTCTTCAACATTCTTCAACATTCTTCAACATTCTTCAACATTCTTCAACATTCTTCAACATTCTTCAACATTCTTCAACATTCTTCAACATTCTTCAACATTCCTCAACATTCTTCAATAGTATTCAACATTTTTCTACTTTCGTTACTATTATTCAACATTCTTTAATTTTCTTCAACATTATTTAGCATTATTCGACACTTTTCGTCATTTTTCAACATTCCTCAACATTTTTTAATATTTTTCAACATTCTTTTACATTCTTCAACATTCTTTTACACTCTTCAACATTCTTCAACATTCTTCAACATTCTTCAGCATTCTTCAACATTCTTCAACATTCTTCAACATTCTTCAACATTCTTCAACATTCTTCAACATTCTTCAACATTCTTCAACATTCTTCAACATTCTTCAACATTCTTCAACATTCTTCAACATTCTTCAACATTCTTCAACATTCTTCAACATTCTTCAACATTCTTCAACATTCTTCAACATTCTTCAACATTCTTCAACATCCTTCAACATTCTTCAACATTCTTCAACATTCTTCAACTTTATTCAACATTCTTCAATATTCTTCAACATTCTTCAATATTATTCAACATTTTTCTACTTTCGTTACTATTATTCAACATTCTTTAATTTTCTTCAATTTTCTTCAGCAATATTCGACATTTTTCGTCATTTTTCAACATTCCTCAACATTTTTTAATATTTTTCAGCATTCTTTTACATTCTTCAACATTCTTTTATATTCTTCAACATTCTTTAACATTCTTCAACATTCTTCAACATTCTTCAACATTCTTCAACATTCTTCAACATTCTTCAACATTCTTCAACATTCTTCAACATTATTCAACATTCTTCAACATTCTTCAACATTCTTCAACATTCTTCAACATTCTTCAACATTCTTCAACATTCTTCAACATTCTTCAACATTCTTCAACATTCTTCAACATTCTTCAACATTCTTCAACATTCTTCAACATTCTTCAACATTCTTCAACATTCTTCAACATTCTTCAACATTCTTCAACATTCTTCAACATTCTTCAACATTCTTCAACATTCTTCAACATTCTTCAACATTCTTCAACACTCCTCAAAATTCTTCAACTTTCTTCAACATTCAATATTCAACATTCAATATTCATCATTCAACATTCAATTCACACATAAATCTATTGTTCTAATTGAAAAATCTTACTTACCATAAAATCAATGTTATTAAAATATTACCGAGACAAACGATAGATTAACATATTGCATTAACTCCTATAATAACTTTAAATATCTCAAATCCTGATGGGAATTCAATTCAGCATCCAATATTCTCTTCAATTTAATTCAAAGCATTACATTGGATGCAATGCGACACAAAATCACCTGTATTTGGCTATTATTGTTAAACGGAAATAAGTTGCAATAGCAACAGAGACGTTTATCCGTAAGTTGAATTTAAAAACGATTTCAGCTTGACTGGGTATTTCCAAGAGAATTTAAGGGAAGGTATATATTTTTATAGATTTTGATTTTCTGAAAATGGGACATAAATGTTGTACAAGGTATGATGTCCAAAACTTAATGAAAATAATTTTAGTATCATTTTTAAAGTTTAAAAATGGAGCAATTTATCCATAAATACTTCTTAGCCTTACATATCAAGGTAAAAAAGGCAAACTACTGAAGATGTTTTTACTTGAATGATTGTGTTATAATGATTCTTAAGAACTATTTTATTTTAATATCTATGAATTTCTATGAATTTCTATGAATTTCTATGAATTTCTATGAATTTCTATGAATTTCTATGAATTTCTATGAATTTCTATGAATTTCTATGAATTTCTATGAATTTCTATGAATTTCTATGAATTTCTATGAATTTCTATGAATTTCTATGAATTTCTATGAATTTCTATGAATTTCTATGAATTTCTATGAATTTCTATGAATTTCTATGAATTTCTATGAATTTCTATGAATTTCTATAAATTTCTATGAATTTCTATAAATTTCTATGAAATTCTATGAACTTCTATGAATTTCTATGAATTTCTATGAATTTCTATGAATTTCTATGAATTTCTATGAATTTCTATGAATTTCTATGAATTTCTATGAATTTCTATGAATTTCTATGAATTTCTATGAATTTCTATGAATTTCTATGAATTTCTATGAATTTCTATGAATTTCTATGAATTTCTATGAATTTCTATGAATTTCTATGAATTTCTATGAATTTCTATGAATTTCTATGAATTTCTATGAATTTCTATGAATTTCTATGAATTTCTATGAATTTCTATGAATTTCTATGAATTTCTATGAATTTCTATCTATGTATCTATCTATGTATTTATATAAGACAACGTTAACATAACAGACTCCGAAGGCGTGTGCTCAACGTTTCCATGACCTACTACCAGATTATTTTTATTGATATACCTTTAGTTTTATTTTCTAAAAAAGTATTCTACAAACTAGTGAAGATGTCATACCATGTTTTTGAGATCACACCTGATTTTGTTATGTATCTTTTTACAATATACAGGAATTGCCATGCAACGTGTTAATGCTCTTGGATGTTGCTCTATTATCTAATCTTATATTTGTTGTTTTTCATAGTTTACCAAGTCTCATAATTTTCCCATATTGTCCAATTTTGTTTAAAATATTTTCATTACTTTTACGTTTTTTCAATTATTGCTTAGTAATCTACGTATGCAATGACTTCTCCTTTCCCTGTTCTCAGCTTTCTTTTATTAACATCTAAAATTTATTAATTAAAGGGAAAAACAGGAAAGCTTTTTTTGCACTAAAGATCTAGAAGTTGTTGTGCTATATGCAAAACCGCTATATCATTTTTTTCTCTATTTCTAGAACTTAGTCAAAAAGTATTTTTAGCTCAAAGAGCGAAATTTGATGGAGAAGGATTGTTTGGAACGGCATTCTGGCTAGAATGGCGCTACAAGTTGAATGGCATTCACTCAACCTGACTTTCAATTCTCGATTTTCTGACAAGGATTGTGTGTTTGCAAACGATGAAAAGTCCGTGGGAGTCGAGAGTTCGGCTATGTATGCGACATCGAAATATAACTGCATTCAATTTCTCATTCAACAATACATTCCATACCTACTCGCTATGAATTTACCAGTATGCATTATGTATTATTTTGCGGGATTCTGGTTTATTTCCAATTAACATAGCTGGTATCTGGTATCGAGCTCGATTCAAAACTTCTTGCATTCAAATTAGGTTTTTCAAATATTTGTTGACGTGGAAAAAATACATTAGAGGTTTAGATCCTACTAACATACACAGTGATGATTTATTTATGGTTCCACTGACAATTTTAGTCACAGTTGTAAATAATATAATTTTTGAACTTTTATAAATGTATTCCTATAGAAACTATATATAGCTCAAAAATCTTTTTTTTTTAAATCTTAAAAACTGGTTTAATTACGGAAAATAAATTTAATTTTAAGTAATGACGCTAAATAGGTCTAAAATGATATAAATTCATTATAAAATAGTTGCAAAATCAAAATAGATAACAAATAGTCCAAAAATCTTTTTCCTACGACCATATAGGAAAGTGACACATATCACACTATATAGTCCTATGGAAAGTGCCCTATTTCACACGCATATGAATTAGAATTTACTTTCCATCCGTGTACGAATATGCTACTTTCCGCAGTAGCTGTCACCAAATGTCAAACACATGATTTCTATTTTGATCTATGTAATGTCCATATTAATACTAAAATCAATATGATTGTTAAATTATTGAAATTGTTGTAAATTAGATCCTAGATATTTATCTTTAACAATTATTATTAAAATAATTTTAAAATAACTAAGATTTATGTTTGCTCTTTATTCTAGTTAAATACATAACCGATTAGATCATTTAATTCACGCAAGGGCTATTAGCTCAGTTGGTTAGAACATTGAACTTATCAACTTTGCCATTTGAGACCTGGCGAGCGACCGCGTTCAAATCCTGGCGAGGCCAGAATTTTTTTTTGTTTTTTTATTTTTTTTTATTTTTTTTTAGTTTTTTTTTTTGTTTAGAAAATATGAAAATTGAATAAATACGATTATTGTTGATTATTTTTTTAAATACATTTTAATTATTATAGTAATAACCAGGTTTTACATTTTTTGATGACATTATTTTGTGTTCATAGGAAAAATATTGTACATCACTTGTGTGAAAAGTGATTTTCCACACTCGTGTGATAGTCGCACTCGACTTGTGCCTCGTGTGACAATATTTCCCACTCGTGTGAAAAAGTCACTTTCCACACTCGTAATGTAATATACTATATTATTTAGAAAAACTCGAAAAGTGGCTAAATTACGGAAAACAATCGTTTTGAATTAGAAGTTTTAAGTAATGACGCCAAATAGGTGTAGAAGTTTTAAGTAATGACGCTAAATAGGTGTAAAATAATAGAAAGTCGTTATAAAATAGATGAAAAAGCAAGATAGACAAAAAATAGTCCAAAAATCTTTTTTATTTTAAAAAAACTCGAAAACTGGTTAATTTACGGAAAACGTATATCACGGGGGTTTATATCATATGCAAAATATGCCAACAACATTCTCTGTCTCAACACTCAAGTGAATCTTAACAGAAATTTCATACCACGCCTAGACAACTCAGTTAACCCTCCATGATGATGTAAGTCCGAGTCGCTCAATATAAGCCTTTGAGAACCATCCCCTCCTAAACTCGATTTCATCCATCAGAGCCTACCTTTGGAACCATGCTACTTGTATGATTAATTGTTTTGTTCTCTATTTTGTCTCACTCCAACCATGAGTACGCTTATTAAGTAATTTGGAATTTTTAAGACTAAACATCAGATTCACCTCTAGGGACCGCGGGTTCAGTTGTCTCATCTTGGGTTCTCTGAAAAAAGTTCTGCAGAGCCCGGGCTGGCACAGCAGAATCACGTGAGTGATATTTTTGTTTTATCTTGACATTACAAAAAAAATTCATATTAAATATTTATTTAAATTAAAATTTAACTAACAAATAAATCAAATTTCAGACGAATTTTCTTTAAATTCCATACTAACAAATTTTGATTTCCTTTATTCACCTCCAATCACTCGAATCACATTTGAAGAAACTTGTTCCACACCTCCTCTCTTGACATTTGACCGGTCAACGTCTTTAAGTGTCGCTTGTCAGCACTTTCACATAGACACAGTTGGTTAAACAATAATAATAAATGTAAATGTATAGATCAATTTAAATTTTAAAATAATACTAATAGTAATAATTATGATTTAGCAAGTTGTGAATCTCCAGAAATAATTATATTTTGAAGCAAGAATGACTAAGAACTTGGTGGATATGCTTGTTTGTGGACAGTAGGTAGACTTTTTTTACAATTATAATGAAAATAGGAAAAACACCATCTGTTTTTTTGCCTTTTGCTTTTAACCTTTTTCATGTATTCTAAATTTAAATTTCAATATATTTTTTACAGTCACCTCTATTTTTAAAATTTTTAACTAATTTTTTAACTTGTTTTCAATTGTACTCAATGCGAATAGTGAAGGTAGTATAATTCCTTAGTTCCACACAAACTAACTTGCTTATGGAGACCTTATATGATTTTAGGGGCTTGTCCCACACTCACTATTCCCAACACTGGGTTATGTCACTCTGTTTGTTAGTTTTTAAGGGGGTGAATTAGGGAGAGTATTATTATTATTATTATTATAGTTATTTTTGTTCTAAATTACCTTTATATATTTTTAAATTTTGACTTAAAAGTCTTACTCAGATTTTATTTTTACACATATTTATAAATTGTAAGTTTACATTCACAATTTTTGTAGACAAGCACTGATGATGGCACCATGCAATACAAGTCTATTCTTTTGAATCTAAATTACGAGCATGCAGCTGTTAACCTTTTTTTGGTTATTCTAATCTATAACTAACAGTCTTTTTTTTAAGTTGGTAGCAACTGTATATACACCTCGTGACGCATTATTAAGTCTCCTTATATCGCGATAATCATGTTTTATTTTCTGATTTGAAAACTATGTACAATTTATTTAAACTATTGAAAATAAAGACGATAATTATTAATATTATATATTGTGCAGAGCTTAAATAAATTCATTATATTTCATCAAAATA